CCTGCTGAAGCAGAAGTGATCAGCATATAACTAAAAGTGTATAAAGATTTGTTCACAGGATCGCCTGAAAAGAAAAGAGGAACAGAGTCGAAGATTCAATGCTATGGTGCAAAATGGTTTCGATCATGAGTCGTTAAAGTACATACCTATAACAGCAAGGAGCAACCCAACTACAAGAAGTGAAAATGAGAATAAGGTCCACTTCTCCATGCGTCCCTTGTGGTCCTGAAAGATATGTGTGTAACATCATATGTAATCTGTTCAAGGTACTCAAAGAAGCAACATACGGAAATAAAACGGTTTTGGTATTTACGTTTCTATTTAAATCTTGCAACTCCCATTAAATGATTAAGAACAATTATTATAAGAACTAAAAAGAGAATGAAGAAGACAACTACATTGCACCTGTAAGTGAGCAAGAAGATGTCCATATTGAAGTCCAATTATGCAGGTCACTGCAGCTGTCAAGGAGCTGTGGATACAATCGTTGTTAGAAGGTCAGAGAGAATTTGAGTCACATTTCCATAGCAAAGGGTTATTTGCACCAAGAAGATATCCTTCTTATGTGTATGAAGAGAATTACAAGGAAAGATAGAAACCCTTGAACTGTGTACGCTGTCAGGATGCCATGAGACAAAACTGCCACTAAGACCCAGGACGTAGTCCTACTAAACAGGCACCAAACTGATAGGGGGTAGTTTAAGTACGAATATTCAGGTGAGTACAATAAAATGCAGAAGAACTGAGTTCGGGGAAGAAAAGCATAAAAGAAGTTTGATTGCCCACCTTAAAACACCCTCAGGATCAAAAGGAGCATGACACCAGGAAGCTGAATTGTCAGGAACGTGGCCATCGGTGGACATGTTGCACTCCTGATAAAGTGAAATTTCATTATAGTCAATGGATTACGTGAACGAATAGACACCATAAAGTGAACAGCTCAGGATACCTTCAGGTTTCTGTAAACAGGTTTTTTATACAGGTGGTCAATGCCAAGTATATAGCGATCAATCATTCCAGCTGAATTACAAGCAGGTCCAAGATTGCCTCTTAGAGAACATTTTACCTGCGTCAAATTGGGTAAGTAGGGATGCATGCAATCTCATGAACTGGACATCAAGTGATAAAATTTTAGAGTCCTCACCATGTAAATGTAGCTGTGATTTGTCGGAAACACAGAAGAAGTTGCTTTGGACATTTCAAATTGCCAATCTGGAACATATAAACCATACAATAACCCCAGGTATATTGCAGACAGTGAAAATGCCACACACCTAGAAAACATAAATCTTTTAGTCAACGAAACAGGAAGGAATGCAAGTTGTTGGCATAGTAGTTCATTCTGCCTACTAAATTAAAGGAAACAACTAATCAGCAATCATCATATCAAAAAATGATCTAGGTTGTAAAAGGAAATAATCCATCGAGTCTCTTAATGATCTACTCATATCTGTCCACCTTCCACTCAGTGCTCCTTATATTATAAAACACGAATCCGTATGCCAGTGGCATGGTCTTTCTCCCATGTACATGTTTTTCTTGAACATGAGTTATTCAATTCAAATCAATCCCACTTACAAGCTCAAGAAAGTAAGAGAGCGAAAGGAAACAAGGTCTGATACTTAGCATCAACATTAGAATGAGATCATCAAAGTGAAAAGATGCTGTTATTACATATGGTTTATATTTGAAGTTTTAGAGCGAAACTCAATTTCAAATGTTAAGCTTACCAATGCCAGTAATAACTCTTGAGAAAGCTTACTTCTCTACGTGTTCGACATGAAAGCCAAATCTCACATAAAGCAGCAACTATGTATCCAACAGATATTTTCTGGCTTGAAAGACAACTGACACAAGTTAAGAAATTGCGAGCATTATATACAGAATGAAACATGCAACTTGTTAAAGGAAGCAAACAAAGGCCATAATAGTCATTTGCTGTGCTTTGAGTATCATGCGGACTACTGAGGTGGATGTCCTTGCACCTGACCAGAATGACAACGACAAAAAGTAGAACAGTATGTTTGTAATGTAGCAGATACATATCGTGTGGCTAATTACTCTGCCCGTCCACTTCAGTTGATCAGGAAACTGATGTGGCTGCTTGTATGCAATCACTTCTTCAGCAAGATCTCAAGGCAGAGTGAAGTTTCCCAGTATTTCCTCATAAAATTGACACTCCTCTATACTACTCTCTATACTCGTCCATGTGAGGAATCAAATTAAAATCAGTACTAGCAATGTATGTGTGTGTCAAAACGAAATATATGTTAATGAAGGCAAAAAATCCCAAAAGCGAAGAACCATGAACAGATTATTTCTCACTGGAAAACTATCCAGTATATCAGCGTCATCGATTGAAAAATCAATTCACCTGCAAAATTCCAAGCCAGCGTATTCTTTTCATGTCAACACCATACGTCAAGGAATTTATTCCATGAAAGTAGCCACCTGAATTCAAAAGGGTGTGTGCCATATTACATACAGAACTCATTGTAAAATTTCACTTCCCGAATGCATGGAAATTATTGATAAGATTACCTTGAATAACCACACCTAGCAAAAATAGTTTTATTGCCTTTATCACTGCCTTCCATGTGGCTTCGATTCTGTTTGGTACTTTCTGAAAACGTATATAGACAGAAAGCTTTCGATTCAAGTGAACCAGGAAGCACAAATGTCTTTTCTTAAATTAAGACTGAGTGATATTACCTTGTAAACAAGTGCAAGAGAAACTCCAGCAATAAAAAGAAAGAAGGGCATCACAGAATCTGCCAGGTGGAGTCCATTCCAAGGAGAATGAGCAATAATGGGAAAAATCGCCCCACCATAATCAACCAGCATCATTAACTGAAAGCAACCAATATCCAATGCAGATCATAATCAAGCTTAGTTATTCATGAAGATTGCATGCTTCGACTTACGAACCAAACGAAAAGTTCAGGTCAAGGCAAGCTTTTCAATTCTTGATTTCAAGAGACTAAACTTTGCCACATTTTTCTCAGGAAACAAACAGAGCGACCCCAGAAAGTCAAGCCAGTTCAAGAAAATAAAACACAATTAAGAGCTTTTAAACTAAATCAAGATTGATATATATATATATATATGTATGTATGCATGTATGTATGTATGTATGTATAAGAAGAAGACAGGGAGCTAAGAGCTTACAAGGACGCAGAGACCACGAAATACATCGAGAGAGGCAGCACGTTGGGGTTTCTTACTGGTATGTAGTTGTTCTTCAATGTCTAGCAATGGCTTGTGTAATAAGTCTGCCATTATTTTCAGTGAAGATCGAAAGAGCATGTTAATTTTCAGAGCAGACAAGTAAAGTGAAGAGGAAGGTGGCCTCGGGGAGGACAAAACCTGACGTGGCATATGGTGATTGGTTACATAAGAATGCCAGAGGGGACATTAATAGAAGTCGTTATTTTGGTTTAAAAAAAAAATAGATTTATTATTACAAGCCCACAAATGTTTATATCTCTTCGGATTCTTTTTTCATATTATAAATTAGGAGTAAAAAAAGGAAAAAAAAGGAATTGATCTAGAAAAAAAACCTAAATTAATTAGACAGCATTTATTTGTTGTTTTAAGAAAAAAAAAAGATAGTATTTGATTAAAAAATAAAAATATTTTAAAATAAATTTACGTGTTTTCAAAAAAAAATACCAGAAGATATGTTACTCTATGATCATTGTATTTATTTATTTTTATATCAAAATAGTAACAAAACTCTACTAATTACAGACTCGCAGTTCTCTTCTTCTCGGCTCAATTCTCTCTTAATAATGCTCCATGTTCTCAATCAATATAAAATTTATAAATACTTTGGAAAAAGAACTCAGGACCTCTCTTGAGCTCATTTATAGAGATTTTGGGCCTGAGCGAGAAAGGATCCACGGGCTCCATCATTCCCTACTAGCATGTTCAATTGACATTTTTTTCTTTCTTTCTTTATATATATATATATATAAAAGAATTTCAAAACACAAAAGAATAACAGATGGAAAAGTGATTACGATCACATGTAAACATATAAATGTCACAAATTATAAATTATGAAAAATAAAATTGAAACTTTCAATATCATCCATGAGAATACTTTATAAAAATCCCACTTACCATACTATATAGATGTAATCAGGATCATGTCAGCATTCAAACGATAAATTTAGTAAATTTAAAATCAAACCCATTTTTAATGCACTATTTTAAAATCTGTAATAACAATGTGATAGTAGGTCTTGTTTGGCAGTACGTAAATGAAGATTTGCTAAAATTTATTTATTTATTATTTGATTTTTTTATGTGTTGATATAAAAAATATAAAAAATATTATTTTAATATATTTTAAAATTAAAAAATACTTTAAAAAATAATTGTTACAACTTTCTTAACACATTATTAAAAATAATCATATATATTTATATGAATGGATGAATTGCTTATATTTCAAGAATATTTATTAAATATTTCAATGTAATCACATAAAAACCAATTATTAAAAAAAAAAATTATTTTGCTGAAAGAAACATTACAAGATATAAACTATCCTTATCAAATACCCATAATATATATTATTTTTAACCGTTGAGATAATTTTTTAATTGCTGGGCCTCCTTTAATACCATGCCAAGAGCAGGCCGTGAGCCCATGTCTTGTAATCAAGCCTTCGGCGTGGTCTTATCAGTGTAAGCTTTCCTGTTTTCTTACAAAGAAGGAAAGGAGTAGGAGGAAAATCATTCCACAGCCCAAGTCTGAGAGATTCAGTACCCTGTAAGAAGCACTGAACGGAGAAGATGATCGTGTGTGTCGCGGTCGTCGGTCATCAGGTACACCGCCTCCCATCTCCCACATTCATTCTGTGATTATCTAATCTTTTGATGAAATCCGATGACTGTCTGTCAAACAGAACAATCCACTGTACATACAGAGTTTTACTGAAGCAGATGATGCACTCAAGCTCCACCACATAGTTCACTGCTCCCTTGACGTTGTTGATGAGCGAGGTTGGCCTTATTTATGCTTAATTTGGTTCTAATTGACCCATATGTGTGTAGATTTATTATTTTTATGAACTGGGATGTGGCTTAATTAAAAAAAAAATTGTTAAGATTTATTGTTTCCGTGAACTGGGTTTGGCTTGTTTGAGATTTGTTTCAAGATTTGAGCTTCTGGGTTCATATTTATTTTGTTGGTTTATGGCATTATTGTAAGTTGTTAACAAATTTGGAGATTTGAGGGTTCATAATTCTCAGATGCATTTTAATTTACCTTTTGGTTTGTTTGGTATCTGATTGTGACCGAATTTGTGTAGTGAATAATCCAAAGAAATCTGGGCTGACATTGAATGAGACATTTCTTGGATTGCTTTATCCAACTGAGAATTATAAAGTGTAAGAAGGTTTTTTGGTTGTTCGATGGTTGAAATTGCTTCAGCATAGTGTAGTTTATGGCGAGGTTGGTGTCCTGATATAATTTATTGTTGTTGCTGTTGTCTTCAGGTATGGTTATTTGACAAACACGAAGGTGAAATTCATCTTGGTCACAACTGATTTAGATGTCAGAGATGCAGACGTCAGAAATGTAAGCATTTCTCTGCGTGTAGTCTTAATTTACTTGTAGGATCCAGATTAGAATTCACTTTCTATCACAATTCTATCCCATGACTATGCTCTATTTGTTAGAAGCTTAGATGTGGCATTGCTAAGGTGTGCCAACACATTGTGTATCAAGCTCCACTGGATATTGTAAATGTAATTTTTTTAATAGCAGTGCTGGTTTCCTTGCACAAAAGTAGATGTTATTTCAAATTTGCTTGGACAGTTAAAATCCAGTTATCCATGTCTGGTGTTGTCATGGTTGTTGGGTCTTGTGGTAATTTTGAGATCTCACAGCTTATCTACTTAAGAGAGTCTTTCTGGAGATCTTACAATTTGTTTTTTTGTCTTCATGTGTCATAACTGGAACAACATTGCTCATAGTATATCTCAAATATTGGAGGTATGGTGACGGGGGACAGATTCTAATAATCTGCCTACAAGGGCTGCAAGCTCCTTAAATTATCTGTTCTATCTTGAAGCAGTTGGAGGTGGTGGGGGTTGTCCATCAAGTTTCCATCAATAATTCTGCTGTACTTTGCATGGAAATTTTTGTTTGTTTTGCTGATTGTTTGGCCTCTCTTCCAGGCTTTGAATTAATTTTGAAGTCATATATTGACCATTCCAGCCATTTTATGCAATAGGAGCATCATAGTGGAAAAGTAGAAGTGTTTATATTGTGTAAACTAGATACTAATATAAAGTGAATGTGATGGGTTGTTCTATGAAACAAGGTTTCTCTGTTACCAAAAGACTCAAACCAGTCTATGGAGACCCTGAGATATCCCACCGATTTTTTTGTCAGTGTGGCTGTCACTTATCTGCCAATTAATCATCGAAATGATAGCATAAGTGCATAACTACTTGCTTGGTATGAGCCGTGCCTGGTTGTTTCTGTTTCAATATTTTCTTGGTGCTTTTGTAGTTTTTCCGGAGATTCCATGCTGCATACGTGGATGCAGTTTCAAACCCTTTTCATGTCCCGGGTAAAAAGATCACGTCCAGAACTTTTGCAGAAAGAGTAAGCAACATCGTCAAGTCATTTGGTTTGAGCTCAGCAGGCTAAATTCAGCCACTTCCACTTCTAAACCTGCTGGATTCCTTCATGCAACCATTGGATATTGCCATTTTCTTTTCATTACCCTTTTCATGCTCTCTGCTTCGGCTAGTAAGTGAACAAATATATTGTACTCTGAGCTGCAGCTAAGAAAAAACAAGTGATTTTACCTCTTAATTAGAGATGGTTCATTTTTATTTTTGTGCATATTATTCTTGAAAAAACTTGACAAAAATCATAATTGTATCTTCGTGTGTTATCTTTTCGTTCAATATTTTGACTATATTTACTATGACATTATTTGCAATAATGTTAAACCATTAGTTGACGGGCTCCCATCCAGCTCTTGCATCTATATATTTGCCAAGCAGACACAATACAGTTGCAGCCGTGCTGGACAGTAGGGAAGCATTCCTCAATTCTATTTTCTTTTTGGCTTATTACGTTTCAAGTCGTAGCTTCATTGATAAGCATTTCATTCAGAATCCGTAAGCACTCAGATAAAGAAAATTTATTCGTCCCTGAATAAAGGAATGGCTTGAGATCTTGATGAGGTTCATCGAAACCCAAAATGAATATTCCTTTTTTGACAAACTGAAGTGGGAAGGTACCACACAGAATGGCACGAACCTCCGAGATCACAATGGGAGCTAGGAAATGATGTCACTGAGTTAAAAAAAAAAAATGTATCAAAATATGTGGAAGTATCATAGTAGTTATTGGTTGTTTTAAAATGTTTTTTATTTAGAAATATATTAAAATAATATTTTTAGTAAATTAAAATAATATAAAAATATAAAATTAAAATTTAGTAGAATGCAGTTTTCACCGCTATTCTCGACGATAGCACATCAATTTGCGTGCTAGCTTTTGAATCTCGTTCCTGTCTCCATGTCTGGGTATCCTAACGTAGGTGCTTGGGCTTGGGCTGTGAGAACCTAACCGAATCAAGATTCAAACATTTTCTTGAATTGACAAGAAACTAATATCGTAAGTTTCGTAATTAATTAAACAGAACCCCTGATCGCGATGGGAGGAAACCATGTGGGAGTGTAGAGCAAGAGTGTCTCAATTTTATTTCGGTAAGAGCTTTTTTTTTAATTGTAATGAAATATTTTGATTTTCGAGATTATATATATATATATAATTTAAATTCAAGATAAATTAATTATGAATTATATAATATGAATATAATGTCAAATAAATATAATTTTAAAATGTAAAATATTTTTAAATAGTCAAGATTAAATAAAATTTTAACTTAAAATAATTTAAATAAAATAAAATATTAAAATATAATGAAAATAAAATATTTTAACATAAAAAAACATATATCAAACTCGAACTTTTTACTTGTAAAAAATAAAAGGAAGTCACATAAGTTATTTACGTCAAAACGCTATGATAATTAATTCTTGAACAAAAATAAAGAGAGTGAGAATTTTGACGCTATGATAATTAATTCTTGAACGAAAATAAAGAGAGTGAGAATATAAATGTCACATTTAGGTTAACACGTTAACACCATCTAATTAGTATTTTTTTAATCCTTAATTAAATTATAAGTTTTGTTTGTCACCTTTTTAAATTCCTTTTAATTACCCATTCAATATAATAAGGAGGTCATGTTTTTTTTTAAGAATAATAAAAAATAGTTGAGTACTTTTTATATTATAATTGTATTGCAAAATATATTTTTATTGTGACATTAATGAATAATTATTTTTTTTTATCTCTTAACATTTTATAAAAAAAATGTGCAACTCATATTTTATTCAACCAAAAAAATGGAAGGAATGTAATAGATACCGGTGTGAATGAAGATTTGTTAGAAGAGGATAGTTCAATGAAAATAATTTTGTTCTTTGAGCATGCTAAAAAATAGATTAGGGTCCATAAATTTATTATTATTACTGTTTTGTTTGTTTTTTTATTTTTAGATTGATTAAAGATTATTTTGTAGTTGAAAATAGAGTTATTAATATTTATAAGGTATTTTTATGATTTGTTTTGGTTAAAATAAATTAAAATTTTGTTTTGGTTCAATAGTTTTTCAAACCCGAAACAAACATGCTAAATGAAAACTGGAATGAGGTTAAGAACTACGTATGGGAAGGCCAAAACCTGCCCACCTACCGGGGAAAAGGGCAAACAGAATAAGATCATGGCTTGCTCAATGCTTATTGATTTTCCATCACCTTTGCAGCCTCATGAAATCACTTGGTTGCAAAGGTTGCCTTGTAAAATCTTATATTTTAGTTCCCAGTATGTTCTTCATATCATACCGCTGTCTTATTACACTTATGATTCTGAGGGGTTTTTTGTTTTAGAATCTTATGAGAGTTATTTTTTAAAGGTTTTTTTTTTAGAAATATATTAAAATAATATTTTTTTTAAAAAAATTATTTTTTACATTAATATATTAAAATAATTCAAAAATACAAAAAAATAATTTTAAAACAAAAAAAATTCAAATTTTCATGAAAAAGGTTGAAACACATTTCCAAAATATTTTGCCCCTGGCTTTTAATGCAATATCCATCAAAACACAAGCTGCTAATGTGTTTTTTTTTTTTTGTGGTTCCCTGGAGGGCATTGTGATTAAAATTATTCTACTTTTCCAATCTGTTGATGCTATACAATATTGCAATAAACCTGTGATTAACATGTTACCACTGCATTCCCTAGATTCCGAGGAGGCCCTTTAAATTTTCACATTGCAGTCAAGAAAATGAGATATCACAACCATATGGTGGAAGAAGTGCATCTGATGCCAAAATAAAAATGTTATAGTTGCATAATCAGCGATAAAGAAAAACAGCAAAACTAATGGCCTGCCCAGCAACGTAGCACCTTCTACAGCTGAAATATCTTGCAACGAAATCAATAGGCACACTCATCACAGATTCATCAATTTGATAATAATGCAGCGAAATCAAATGATAGAAAAGGTAAATAAGATGAGTTCGAGGGGAAGAAAGGAGCAACCCAACAATTCAAATCAAAATAGTTGAACGGAGGTAGCTCGATTACAAGACAGAATCCTAAATCAAAACATAAATAACCGTGACAAACACACCCATAAAGATCCTCATTTTCTGCTGGGGAGCCCATATAGAGAATCACGGAGCTGGAGAGAATTCCATCAGGAGAACAGTATCTTTGCAGACACTAGATCAAAACTCATCATCATCCTCCTCAGCTATGTGCTTTGCAAGCTCTTGCTCCTGCTGTTGTCTCTCCCTCCTTTTCTCAGCACTTTCTTTCTCCTTGTGGGAATTAGGTGGAAACCTAAGGGCACGTACTGCCTCATTATGCATGTTGAGGCAGAAGGCAATCCTAGAGTTAAATGCCAGCTGAGGCTCATTTGTGGAGTATATGTCCCCTGTTTCCTTGGATACCATCCACCCATTTGCACGATCCAAAGTAGCATCAATAGCACCATCTCGTATTGCCTTGGCCACAATACTCTCAGCATCGGCAACAGGGTTTGCAGAGTCCAACCTCAGCTTCTTGGCTACATCAGCCAGTGAAATCCGAGAATAAGAGATACTGATGTTGCGAAGTCCAGTCCTTATGACATTGTGCCGCAGTCTAACAATTAAGTTGTGGGTCCTGTCTGTGCTGAAAGTAGATGAGAACTTCTCAGCAACGGACTTAAAGAGCTCCAAGTCTCCTATTCGCACAGCCTGAAAACAAAAAACATTGTCCCCATTAAATCCAGCAATTAAACCTCAAGCAGCTGAATGGTGGCTTGACACGCCATAAGCATCTTCCTCGGGTAGAAGTAATCAAGCTTTATACCTGTAAAAACTAGATGGATGTCCATATTTAGATGGAAAATCAAGAAGACTTGAGTTCCAAAGTCCTAGACTTACATTTGTGAGCTCAAAGTATGGCCTCAAAGCATTCTCCATGCCTTTTTGCATAAAAACAGTCCTCTCAGGGATTTCTCCTAGCAGCAATCTGACAATAACTGCCCACTTGTTGCATTGAACTCGAAAAGCAAGAGCTGCAGCAGGGGCTTTACGTGCAGCTTGAAGGAGAGATTCTTTTGCATCAGTATACTCCAACTGAATTGTCCTAATCTTTCCCAAGTAAAAGAGATACCGACAGAACTGCAAGATAAAACAGAATAGTGCCAAAAAGTGAGTTTACAACCAATCATTTTTTTAAATGACAACAATAAAATCACTTTCTTTTCAATATTAGATATTTTTTAAAACTAACTAGTTCACATTAATGAAGTTCAATTACACCTAATCCAATGAGATACAATATTTCACCAATTTGGCATCTAATACAAGCAAGAAAGATACCATGTGTTCCATGACTTGCCTATAATTAAAATCCTAAAATCAAGACCAACAATGGAATTGCTTAAAAAGCTGACATGAGACTAAATTCTTCAATCAAAATCAACTATATTGTAGGCTTTAACTACTCAACATATCAGGATACACGTCATCAAGTCTAGTGAGTGTTACCTGCTGATTTGAGTGAGCCTCAAATCGAGGGGCCTTCGACCTCAGCTTCTCTGCCTGATCATATAAATTGTAATGGAGGTAATTGCGGAGTAGCAGGTTGAGAAGTGTTTCCTGCATCGCAACATCATTAGAAGTATAAGGACCCAGCAATGTACCCACAAAATGATCTGTATCAATGCAAAAAATTTACCTGGCCCAGCTCATCATGGCGCAATGTTGCAATCCGATGAAGAGCAAGGAGGCTACTGTTAGTTGGAAAAAAAACTCAACTTAGTTAACAAATGGTATTCTTCTGTGTGAGTAAGATTAACAGCATCAAGACTTGTTATAGTTTTGTGAATGCATCAACTAATGCAGAAGAAACACCAAGACATCAAATAGATAAGCAAACAGACCCATGTACACAGTCATGCACCCAAACTCATGTTTTAAGAAAGAAAGGTTATGCATTGAATAGAATAGACAATTTACCCTCTGATTTCAGCAAGATCACCAGTGAGTTCATAGCTAAGTGAGTAGTAGGAATACAGCCTTGATGCCAGAACATCAACAGTCCTCCTATTCAGATTCTTCAGGCGAGCAATGCTTGCTGATGAGCAAGCTTTGGCCTGCAATCCCAGTTGATAACTTGATATTGTTATTTCACTGGAAGAAAAGAAAAGAAAAAGGTACAACCCTTGTAACATATGCTGCTTTACCTCATTGTGTTTCTTCTGATCAATCAGAAAAATCAGCACCAACAAGTAGCAATATATCTCCAGCTCTGGCAAGGGATGTTTTGCAGGAGCTTGGGTCACAGATGTCGCAG